AAAACATTAAAAAAAAAAAAAAAGAACGGTTCATGTTAAATTTCTACAGTAGGTAAATATCCCTGTTCCAACCCAACCCCTCACCTGTATCTTCTAACATATCTATCTGGTAGGTAGTTCCATATCTTTTGAGTATTCTCTGGTGAGAAGTGGCGTGCTTCATCTTGCCTCAGCACATATAACACCTCCTGCTTCTTGTTTTCCCAATCTGCTAAGGTCCTGCTTATCTAACTGAGGAAAGTAATTCCAGGCTCTCTTTCTTCCAGGATCCCCTTATCTTTCCAAGTAATTCTTATAGAGAATCCTTCTCCTCAGACACTTATCTATAGGACAGGTAAGTCTCCTTTCCTTTCCCAAGGGGAAGGAAAGACTCCTCTCACCAAGACTGGACACAAAGGACAGTGAGCAGGGATTCTTGTCCTTTTCTTTCATTGATGCCTTCCTCATAAAGACACTGTAGTGGGGATACTGGAGGAGGGTAGTGATGGGATTAGGACTGGTTTTCCGGTTACTGTTATGATTGCTTTGAGACTTCAGGAACCACATCCATACAAGATGGCAAACTTTGATAAATGTGTGTTCCAATTGCTCCATCAACTGGCCTGTCTCTATTCCTCTCCCTCTTCTTGAGTCTCCCTATACCCTGAGAGCTGGCAATATTGAAATTAGACCAATTAATAACTCTACTAGGGCCTTGATGTTTTCTCGTGAAAGGAACAGTCAATCGATTCGGCAAATTTCATTGTTGTCTTTAAGAAGAAATTGCCACAACTTCATTGTGGCATTAGGAAATTGCCACAACCACCCAAATCATCAGCAACCACCACCACAGAGTCAAGACCCTCCATCAGCAAAAAGGATCACAACTCTCTGAGGGCTCCAATGATGGCTAGCATTTTTAGCAGTAAAACCAAGCTTACTACCATGGAATTGATTGATTCATAGGAACCTTATGTTTCCAAGAACAGAAAGCCTCATGAGTTTGCACTGCTGACCTTGAGATTAGCAGTCCAATGCTTATCCTACAGCACCACTAGGGCTTCTTTTTTGGGTAGTAAAGAATTTTTAAATTAAGGTATGTGTATTGGTCCTGGTATGGCTATGTGGGATAATGCGCTGAACTGTAAAGTTGGCTTGGACAGCAAGGTTGGCTGTTCATGCTCACCAGCTGCTCCTTGGAAACCCTATACAGGGTCGCAATGGGTTGGAACCAACTCTACAGCTCTTAAAAACAACAATTGTTTTTTCAGGCATGATGCCATTGCACACTTAAAGACAGCAGTATAGTGTAAACAAAACTTCTATATATGCTGGGAAATAAGAAAATTAATATTACTAATTTCAGTGGTCTGGAATGGAACCTCCAATATCTCCGAGATATGCCTATATAGTGAAATTACATTTAATAAATTCATAGGTGCCTTGTATACTTGCATACCAGAGTCTACTGCATAAAAGAAATCATCACTAATTTGTTATTTGTAAGCAGTTGTTTATTCACCAAATATGCTTCTGGAAACTGTCTTCTGTCTTGGTTACATCTCAGAATTCAATTCTCCCTCTGTATTGGGTAGCATGCCAATCTTGAGAAAAGGTTGACTTTTCAAAGCAAGCAGATGCCCTAGTGTCTGGCCCTGTCCTCTTCTTTCTATATTTCTTAAAAGGCAACACACTTTTCCAACAGTTGTGTTTGTGTAAGCTGCCACTCCAAGGTGGGAATGTCCCCTAATGAATTCTCAAGATTGATGTTAGCATAGTCATCTAAACCTGCATGGGCTTCATGTGGTCATTGATATTCTCATTGACTGTGTGACTTCTTTATACCTTTAAAATTTATTGTGTTTTTGTTTTGTCTTAATCATTTTTTCTATAGGATTATTTCATTATTCTAATACTGCTATTAATTAAAATATCATACAAAGTTTTATGTAAGCATTTTCAAATAGGCTTTTCCATGTAAAGTTACACCATTACAAATGATGTTTTAAGATCCTTTGAAGTACATTGTGGACTTGGAATGTGACAGTTCCAAGCCCTTCATAATGACTATGTGCTTTGTTGCATTTTAAAGGAATGTATTCTAGAACATTTGAAGAATTAGGTGTCTGTGTGTTAATAGCTGCCACTTGGTCATTATCTCAAGGGAGAAATTAATTTCAGTTTAGTTTAAGCTTAATCTAAAGTAAAAATAATCTGCCATATTAATTTTCAATTAGAGTTTATTAAAATGTATGTCCAGAATTCAGTTTAATTGCTTCCACACCTAGACAAGAGTGATTTGTGTGTCAGAATTAAGCATATTGGCAGGTCAGCTTGCATAAGTTTGGAGGAGGTAGAGTTAAAGTAAACTTACATTTTCACTTGAAATTTCTTATCTAACAGCATTTCTTTCTTCTGCCAGTTATTTTACTTTATTCAACTGTGTTAATTTATCAACCCCCTCTTTTAAAAAAAAAAAATGTGAGAGGAAAAAAGGCCACAGCATCATCACATTTATATATGTGGGTTCCCTAAACCATCTGGTGATTTCTAATTAGAATACAAAAGATTCTGTGATGAGACTAACTTCAGAATGGCTGAGATGGTGGGCATCAGAGAAGGAGAGAGTTTTCTTGAATTTCCAACAAGAACACTTTTGAGAGTAACTGTGTGGTCTATAATTGTCCTCATACTACAAGTCGGATAAAGTTATTGATGTGCAGATCAAGTTGGTATTTTGAAGCTTGTAATTTAATTCTGGGTGTTTGATCCTCCCAGTCAGTGACTTGACTTGATTTTTTCTTTTTTTTTTTTAAAAGCAGCTTCAATATTTAGTTTCACATGTACCCTCTCAGCAGAGATTTCAAAGGATACTTTGCTGGATGCTTGACTGCCTTGTCTATTTGCTCTTGTTTTGCATGCAAGAGAGAGCCAGAAGCCTTTCTTCTCATTGTGTACACAGAGTATTAATGGATTTACTCTGCCTGTATCGTCTCATTACTGGAAACAGCTAGAAGCACAGAAGTCTTTCAGTGTATGCAAATAAGGCAGAATCATCTACCTGAGAGTTAATATTCTCTGCTTTTAAGTGTATTCTAAATCTAATGTTTGTATTTAGAGCATAACATCCTGTTCTTTTTTTTTTTTTTTTATGGGCAAAAAGCTAAGCAGGCTCAGGCAGCTGTTTGATGTTGGCTTCAAGTGTTATTAATTTCATATTCTATTATTCTTTTCACTGTAGCACAAGTGAAGCTGATGTGGAGGCTGTCATGGATAAGTTGTTTGATGAGCTGGCTCAGAAACAAAATGATTGTACGTAAGTTAATTTCTCTTGAAAGAGAATACATTTAGAACACAATGCTCAATCTCCACTGACCAATTAATAAGTTCCATTGCTGTATATGGGTTGATGCCACACTCAAGTGGCAGTCATTGTATCAGCATTTTGTCTAATTTATGTGTTGAATCATGTGCTATTATTCATCAAGCTATGCATTTCCTATCTGTAAGAGATGAATTTTATAGTAATTATCCAGACAAGATTGAGTCTTTGTTCATGTTCCCATAGTAACTAGACCAAGGATTCTAAAAGTGCAAGGCAGAGAGCTGCGGCTGAATAAAGCCTGTGGAACCGTTGCCGACTGCACATTTGAAGAGCTATGTGAGAGAGTAAGTATCCAGGCACGTCCAGACTCATTGGCCTTTTCACATGTTAAAATACTTCCTTCTCCTCTCTGCCTGGTTCAGATTTAAAAATACTATCCACAGAGGCAGACCTGATTCAAAAGTCTCATTAAAGGAAATACTCATCTGTTTATAAGCCTTCTGCTTTTTAGAAATATCAGCACATTTGCACTTAGAAGGACTCTAAGACTTAGTTGGAAATAGGTAACTGTCAATTGTTTCTGGACACAAAAATAAAATCTGTTTTAGGGATATTTTGTGGAAGTTAAACAGGCAGGGTTTTCTAACAAAAGATTTGAGGTAAGCTTGTTGTGGTCAGCTCAATACATAGGAACAGGAAAGTGAAGTAATGTCACCGTGATCCAATGAAGTCTGATTTAAAGAGTTTCTGGTCCTCATTTCCACTGTCTATTTGGTATTGCCACCAGTATTTGACCTATTGGAGCCAGGGTCAATGACAGTGAATTTCATTTTATCATGACACCTGTGTCATATAATAAATAGTATACTCAGAGAAAAGTGTGTACCCATCCACATTCCTGTCAGTGAGAAAGACCTTGACTGCAGCTTCTTTAGAAAGAAGGATTCTGTCTTGTAAAAGATGTAACTTTACACATAGTTCTTGATTTACATGTATAAATTATCATTCCAGCTGGTCTCTAATCTATCTTAACTTTTAGGTAACTAAAGAAAAATTGTTTTCAGTAAAGAGGAAGAGAAAGTCGGTATTTGTACCTGCCATCCGTTTGATGAGTAACCTTCTTAAAAGCTAGTGATTTAATCACTTCCAACCAGTCAGTGAAGATTTGTAAGTTTTAGGCAAGAGAGACAAGTCTAAGCCACAGTGGGTATTACAGAAACTAAGTGCTAGAGAAACAATAAGGTATCTTACTTTAGGATGTTCTGACAGTAAGGCCATCCTGTTAGTCAAAGGCATTATAAGTAATATGGGCCCTTTAGACTTCCACTGCCTCAATCACATTAGCACACGAATAGCCCAGTAACTCCAGACAAGCTTTATTAAAGTTTCTGTTCAGCTGTTTGTAAATCACTTTGTCAGAGAAATAAACTTGAGAAAATTCTTGTTTATCTGAAAGATGAAGCCCTTACCCCTCCACAGAAAAGAACAGACAAGCTTGTTGAGTCTGGGATAGTAGTAAGGCAAAGATTTTCTCTTGTTCATTATTTGAGGAAACTTAGCATTGGGAAGAGGCCACTAATTAGTATAGGGATAGTGGGGAAGAACATTGAGAATGAAAATAAAAATAAGCTTATTTATAAAAATGTGAGATTTTATCTTGTTTGATAAAAATACTGATTATAAAAGCAACTATGAGCTGAAACGTTAGAGTAAAAATTGAACAAATGAACTGTTGTTGGGTTGTTGGGTTTTTTCATACTTTCCTTGACAAAACTGTAGGATAATAAAAATATGACTTCGGTTACTTCGCTCACATGAAAAAAATTTTGTAAAATATATTTAAGGAATTCATCAAAAATTTCCAAGTTTATTTGAGTTATTTTCTTCTTGCTTTCTTTTCTTCTACAAGTTAATCAGCTCTTCATTTGTCAGTGTATGGGTTTGCCTTTTATTGACTTTGTAAATGTGGAATGCTTATGATATCAGACAAGTGCCAAGTGACTGACAAAGGACAGTGACATGGTATGGTGCTCTGAATTAAACATTGGATTGCTCGCCGCATGGTTGACAGTTCAAACCCACAAGCCACTCCTTGAAAAACCTACACAGGATTGCTAGAAGTTGGCACTGACTAAACATCACTTAACAACAACAAGAAGTTTACAAGTATATAAGAGAAAAATCTGTCAACGTCCTAATAAAGTAACAGAAGGTTTAAATTGTAAACTGTCGACGTATGCCATAAGTAAGATTAAGGGATTTTAGGAGCATTCCCCTCTGCAAACATACTCTCAGTCTCTCCCCCCCCCCCCCCCCCACTGCATCCCTACCTCCCAACACATCTCCTCAGTTCAGGAATCCTGCAGGTTAATATCTTCTTGTGGTTTTTGTTAGTTGCCATTGAGTAGGTACCGACTCATAGCAACATTATACACAACAAAACATTGACTGGTCCTATGCCAAACTCAAAATTGTTATACTTGAACCCACTGCTGCTGCCACTGTGCCACTCCATCTCATCAGGGGTCTTCCTCTTTTTCACTGATCTTCCACTTTACCAAGCATGATGTCCTTTTCCAGGGGACTGGTCCAGCATGATAATATGTCGGAAGTATGAGAAATGAAGTCTAGCCATCCTGGTTTCTAAGGAACATTCTGACTGTACTTCTTCCAACACAGATTGGTTTGTTCTTTTGGCAGTCCATGATACTCTTAATATTCTCCTCCAACACCATAAGTCAAATACATCAAGTCTTCTATGGTCTTCTTTATTCATTGTTCAACTTTCACACACATATAAGGTTATTGAAAATTCCGTGGCTTGTGTAAGCGCACCTGAGTCCCCAAACTGACATGTTTGCTCTTGAACACTTAAAGAGGTCTTATGCAGCAGATTTGCTTAATGAAATATGCTGTTTGATTTCTTAACTGCTGCTTCCAGGAGTGTTGATGATGGAGCTGAGAAAAATGAAGTCTTGGATCTTTTGTCCATTTATATGGATGTTATTTATTGGTCCAGTGGTGAGGATTTTTGTTTTCTTTACGTTGATGTACAAACCATACTGAAGGCTGTGGTCTTTGTCCTCTTCGCTTTCAGCAAGCAAGGTTGTATCATCTGTATATCATAGGTTGTTAATGAGTCTTCCTCCAATCCTGATGCCCCATTCTTCTTCATATAATCCAGCTTGGCATACAGATTGCATAAGTATGGCGAAAGAATACAACCCCAGTGCATACCTTCCCTAATTTTAAACCATTCATTGCTCACTTGTTCTGCTCAAACAACTGCCTCTTGGTCTAAGTACAGATTCCTCATGAACACAATTAAATGTTCTGGAATACTTATTCTCCATAATGTTGTTCATAGTTTGTCATGATCCACACAATCAAAAGCCTTTGCATGGTCAATAAAGCACAGGTAAACATCTTTCTGGTATTCTCCCCTTTCATTCAAGATCCATCTGACGTCAGCAATGATATCCCTTGTTCTATGTCCTTGTCTGTATCTGGCTTGAACCTCTGGCAGTTCTCTGTCAATGTACCGTTGCTGCCATTTTTAAATTATCTTTAGAAAAATTTTACTTGCATGCTATATTAATGATATTGTCTGATGATTTCTGCATTCCATTAGGTTACCTCTATTTGGAATAAGCACAAATATAGATCTCTTCCAAACAGTTGGCCAAGTAACTGTGTTCCAAATTTATTGGCATAAATGAGTGAATGCCTCTAGTGCCACATCAGTATGCTGAAAGATTTCAATTTGTATTTCATCAATTCCCAGAGTCTTGTTCTTTGCCAATGCTTCAGTGCATCTTAGACTTTTTCCTTCAGTATCATTGTCTCTTGATCATATGCTACTTATTGAAATGACTTCTTTTTGGCACACTGACTCTGTGTATTCCTTCTCTTTTCTTTTGATGTTTTCTCCATCAGTCAATATTTTGTCCAGAGAATCCTTCGATATTTCAAGTCGTGGCTTGACTTCTTTCTTCAGTTCCCTCAGCTTGAGAAGTGCTGAGTGTGTTCTTTCCTTTTGGTTTTCTAACTCCAGGTTTTTGCATATTTCATTATAATATTTGACTTTATCTTCCTGAGCTGCCCTATGAAATTTTCTATTCATCTCTTTTACCTTCTCATATCTTCCATTTGCTTTAGCATCTGTATGCTGGAGAGCAAGTTTCAGAGTCTCTTCTGACATCCATTTTGGTCTTTTCTTTCTTTCTTGTCTTCTTAATGACCTTTTACTTTCTTCCCTTTTGATGTTCTTGATGTCGTTCCACAACTCGTCTGGTCTTTAGTCATTCATGTCTAATATATCAAAACTGTTCTTCCAATGATCTCTAAATCAAGTGGGATATGTTCACGGTCATATTTTGAATCTTTTTAAAATTGTCTTCAGCTTCAGCCCGACTTGCATGTGAGCAATTGATGGTTTGTTCCACAGTCTGCCCCCTCCTTGTTCTGGCTAATGATACGGAGCTTTTCCACTGTCTCTTTCCACAGATGTAGTCAATTTGATTTCTATGTATTCCATCTAGTGAGGTCAATGTGTATAGTCTTCTTTTATAATGTTTAAGAAAGGTATTTACAATGAAAAAGTCATTGGTCTTGCAAAATTCTTTCATGTACTATTCAGCATCATTTCTATTACCAAGTCCATATTTTCCAGTGACTGATCCTTTCTCTTTTTTTTCCCAACCTTTGCATTCCAATCACCAGCAATTATCAATACATCTTTTTTTTTTTTTTTCAGTGAGGTTTTCTTTATTCAATTTTGCAAAATCGGGTGTCCAACCCAGTAGACATGGGCAGATGCCTTATCAATACATCTGGATTGCATGTTTGATTTATTTCCGACTGTAGAAGCTGATAGAATTTTTCAATTTCATTATTATTGGTGCATACATTTGAATAATAATGATATTTACTGGTCTTCCTTGTGTTGTTGTTGTTAAGTGCCGTCGAGTCGGTTCTGACCCATAGCGACCCTGTACAGGGTTTCCGAGGGTGTAAATCCTTACGGGAGTAGAAAGCCTCATCTTTCTCCCGCAGAGCAGCTGGTAGTTTCGAACTGCTGACCTTAAGGTTCACAGCCCGATTCGTAACCACTACGCTACCAGAGCTCCTTGGTCTTCCTTGTAGGAGTATGGATTTTATCCTATCACAGACAGTGTTGTACTTCAAGACAGACCTTGAAGTGTTCTTTTGATGATGAATATGATGCCATTCCTCTTCAATTTGTCATTCCCAACATAGTAAACCATGTAATTGTCAGCTTCAAAAGGCCAATGCCAGTTTATTTCAGCTCACTAATTCTTAGGGTATTGATGTTTATGAGTTT